CGCGCTCTTACGCGGGCGGCGGCGCCCCACGCGCGGGCTCTGTGACTCCCTGGGTTTGTATTATTTGTATTTATTTCCATTTTTTTCTTTATTTTTGATCTTTTGTTGGTCTTAAGAAACCAAAAGGAACAGAAAGGAAAAGGAAATCGAAAAGAAACGGAAAAAAAAAGCTCTACCGGCTTAAGGCTTTAAAAACAGATACAACAGTAGTATTTACACAAACCTAACGACAATATTTGCTTTTTAGTTAGTTTTTTTTCTTTTTGCTTTTTTTTGTTTTTTTTTTAAAAAAGAAGATAGCATACCACGGAATTCAGGCAACTTACATCAACAAATAGGCCGTGTGATTTTAGCATGAAGAAAAAAATTACAAACAGAGCTGTGTAAGCGGGTTCTCCCGGAAAAAAAATAAGAAAAAACAAACTTTTCCGAACCACTTTTTCTGTCTATCTGTTGGGTCTCTCCCTCCCTCGCGCTTCTCTCCCTGGACCTCCGGCTGCCTCCTGCGGCTGGCTCTCCGCCCTCTCTCCGGCCCGCTCCCCCCCTGGCTGGACCCCGGGGCTCACGCTTGCGCAGTGCAGGCCGGGGCTGAGCCCCTGTCACCACACTCCCAGGCGCAGGGGTGGGGAGGGCGGGTGGAAGATGGGCAGGGACCCGGTGGGACAGGGTGGGCCACCAGGCAGGAACCACTACCAAGGGGGGGAGGGGCTGGCCGTGGGAGGGGCCTTGAAGGTGAATGGCAAGCTGGCTCGGGAGGGGGGAGGGGAAGAGGACACTCAAGGGGGAAGGCCTGGCAAGGAGTCAGATGTGTAGGAACACGGGCCCCTCTGGAAGGCGTGGTGAGAAGCCCAGGGAGACAGGGACCCCCAGGAAGAGAGTGAGGGGAGTGGCCATGGGATTTCTGAACTCAGCCTAACTCAACTTTCTCTTGCTTCACCCTCCACCTCTGACCCCCACTGACTTTCCCCCCTCCCCCTCCCCAGAACCCCCGATGGTTCGCCAGAATCTGGCCCAGGGCTTGACAGCCTCTGGCCCTCTTATTACTGTTAAAACGATAATGAAACAACGGAAAGAAGAAGAAAGCAAAAAAAGAAAAGAAAATACATACACAGCCATCTGGGAGGGATGCACTTGCTAAAATAGGGCCCAGGGGGAGGGGTGGGGACTAGTGGGGAGGACCTGTGGCTGGGGTGTCTTTCTAGAATAACTGGAGTCCCCTGGGCAGAAAGCTGCAATTCCCATCAGGTCCTAAAGGGTGAGAACTACAATTCCCATTAGCCCTTGGAGGGGTATGGACCACAATTGCCATCAGTCCCTGGATCAATGACTACAACTCCCATAAGCCTCTAGGCCAAAGGAAGGCAACCCACTGGCCTTGGATAGAAAGAAGCTGGAGCCAAGCTCTGGGTAGCTGAAGGGGATGTTCACTGGCTGGTCTTGGAAAGGATGCCTCTGGGCCTGGTTTCCTCGCTCTTTCAGCGCAGCCTAAGCCACCATCCCTGGTCTCTGCTCTATGTGATCTACAGACACCATACCTTCAGTTCTCCACCCTGCCAAGGTAAACCTCAGGGCCTCCTCTGCCAAGTCCAGCCCCGCTGTAGCCCCTGCCTACATCTAGGTAGTTCTTTTCTCTTGCTCTTCCTACCCCCATCCCCCTGGCTAACTCTGTGGTTCCCACCAATCCAGCCCTCTGGCAGAGTCTTTGGCCCCACCAGAACCAGAACAAAGCCTTGCATTAAACTAGAACCTTTGCCAAGCTCCCCAGGTAGGTTACTCTACCCAGAAGGTTCCAATCCCTCACTAAGTGCTCCCTTGCACCGCCATTTTTGAAGCCCTGGAATCCCTGTCTTAGGGGTTTAGCAACAATCAGAAGCTGAACTAAGAACAGAGAAACGTGTCTTGTGTGGCTGCAGCTGCCCAACTCTAGTTGGGTGTTTTCATTTGTTCATTGTGCTGATAATAGAACTCACGATCTCATGAGTGCCAAGCAAGAACTCCACCACTGAGCTACATCCTCAACCCTCAACTCCAGCCTCCACTGGAGGATGCTGAGGCCAGAGGTAAGCAGAACTTCCCAAGGCCACCAAGTGCCAGTGAAGTGAAGGAATGGACTGGACAGTCCTCTCTGTGACTCCCAGAGGCCAGGGATGGGTCAGGTCTCCTGACGAGCCAGGGAACCATCTTTGTGCCTGCCCGAAGCTGTTGTACTCCTGGCTTAGAAGCACACCTGGTAGGCTGCTATACCAGTTCTGTCTGAATTCCTGTGCGACTGTAGGTGAGTTTCTTCCAACCACTAGGCTTCAGGTTTCCTCTGTCTATAGAACAAGGGTCTGGACTCCAAGCCTGAGCCAGGGGCTGGCTCTGTGGGCCCTGCAGCATACGGGTGAACATATGTGATCTCCAACCTTCTCTGAGCCCCAGACCCACCAAACAACAGCCCAGCACTCGGGCCCCTGGATGAGGGGAAACGCAGCTGTCACCCTGGGCCCCGTCATGCCCGGAGCCCATCTGGGGCTCACCACCTGCCATCTCCCTGAGCTTTGCCTTGTGTTCTTTTCAGCACATACCCTCTGCCAATATCTCAGTGGACCCCACACCATGCTCCCTGCCTCTGGTGCCTCTGTCCCTGTGCAGCCCTGGAGACCAGGTTTGGTCTCGCTGCCAGGAGAGGCCTAAAAGTTCCATCTGTCCACCTCCCTCATACGCAGCAGCAGGTCTGGTACAGAGCTCGGGTCGCTATACTTTTCCAGGGAAACGATGGCCGTTGGACATTTCCCCTGGGTTGAGTCAGACTCCCTGACACTGGGGGAGCAGAGAGAGTTCCTCTCACAGCAGAGCCGACTTCTGCAAGCCTCCTCCTCTACCATCTTGAGGAGCAGAGCCCACTGAGAGCTCAACCTGACAGGCCCAGATCCCAACCTCTGCTGGCCCCACCTTCTGCCTTAGACCAGGCCACCATTACTGCTGTGAACTCCAGGGTCAAGACTTGCCCTACACAGACTTAGGACTATCAACCTGGCGTGTGGCATAGCTGGGGCTCTAGCAAAGTGCCAGGCCCAGGCAATAGGATCAAACCTAGAAGCCCTTGCCGGGGACACGCCCTATCCTAGAGCGCTCATCCTGCCGCTCAGGGCATGCCTGGCTTCTCCACCGCCCTTTCCCCAGAAGGGAGGAGGTGATTCAGGCCTTGGACCACAGACAAAGCCTGTCCAGCCTGAGCACCGCACAACCATTTACCCCGGCTTACTGATCCGTGGGACACCCAGGCTTGCTAGCTTTTCCTTCTCACAAACCCCCAGAGCCCTTCCAGGCTCTAGATGGAGGCCTCAACCTGTCTCTGACATTCTAGCTTCCCTGAGGCTCTCCTGGCCCTTTGGTCCTGCCCACCCCAAATCCCCACGCCACTGTGATTCCTCCTCAGTGCCCCTTGGCAGGGCAGTCTCTGTCTCTGTCTCCTACACTCCTTCATCCCTGTGTCTTACACGCCATTCCAGAGCCGCCAAACCCTCACAGCTTGCTCCCCCCCCCCCCCGCAGTCAGACACATGCAGCATGGGGCTTTCCCGAGATGAAGTGAGTCTGCCCTGGAGAGGGGCCAACGGGGCTCTGCATAGCCCATGCCACTGGGCTCTGCAGGGAGAGGGACAGATTCAGGACGACTCATGGTGCTGCCAGGGTGCATGCTGGAAGGTCCAGCCACCAGAGTCAGCCAGGGGACCCCAGGCAGGCTGCCTCCAGCTTCCCTCAGTTCAGACGGCTTCAACAATTGGAAAATACTCACAGGTGCATGCGAGTCACAGGTGCTACCCACCCACAGGTGTTCCTCAGCATCCTAAGGAAAGGAATTTCAGTGCATGGCAGGTCCACTTGCTAGAGAATTCCATTCTGGTCGGGCGCCGGTGGCTCACACCTGTAATCCTAGCTACTAAGGAGGCTGAGATCTGAGGATCACAGTGCAAAGCCAGCCCGGGCAGTTAAGTCCTTGAGACTCTTATCTCCAATTAACCACCAGAAAATGGGAAGTGGCGCTGTGGCACAAGTGGTAGAGCGCTTGTCTTGAGCTGAAGAGCTCAGGGACAGCGCCCAGACCCAGAGTTCAAGCCCCATAACCAACAAAAAAAGAATTCCATTATGGCCAGGACACAAGCAGCCATTCCTAAGTGCCCCTTCTTCCTCAACCCTCCTTTCTCTGGGGACATGTGCCCGGCAAGTAGGGCCTTTTAGTCTTTAGAGCACAGAAGAAATATACCCACAACTCTTATTTCTCTCCTCCCCTCACCCCAGTCAAGATATGCTCAGCCCCACAGAAGGGGCCAGAACTAGGGTTAAGAGTGTTCCAAACCCAGGCTCTGGTGGCTCACGCCTGTAATTCTAGCTACTCAGGAGGCTGAGATCTGAGGATGGTGGTTCAAAGCCAGGTCAGGCACAAAGTCTGTGAAAATCCTATTTCCAATTAACCCACAAAAAGCTGAAAGTGAAAGTATAGCTCAAGTGGTTGAGCACTAGCCTTGAGTGGCAAAGCCAAGAAAGAGTGCAGAGTCCTGAGTTCAAGCCCCAGTACAGGCACAAAAAAACAAAACAAAACAAAAGCACTGGGCGCCAATGGCTCATACCTGTAATCCTTGCTACTCAGGAGGCTGAGATCTGAGGATCATAGTTCAAAGCCATCCCTGACAGGAGACTCTTAACTCCAACAAACCACTCAGAAAACTGGAAGTGGTGTTGTGACTCAAGTAGAGCACTAGCCTTGAGCTGAAGAGCTCAGGGACAGCGCCCAGGCCAACAGTTCAAGCCCCATGACTGACTAAAACAACAACAACAACAAAAAAAAAAAAGAAGTGCAGCTGTGGCTCAAAGTGGTAGAGGGCTAACCTTGAGCAAAAGGGCTCAGGGAAGGTGCCTAGGCTGAGTTCAAGCTTTACAACTGACAAAAAAAAAAGTATTCCAGACTAAGCCATCTGCTGCCTGTAGACCGCTGCACGTCGGTGCCATACAGAAAGAGCATCCTCCAGGTGGACGAGGCGCTGGCCCAGGGCTCAAGCCACACTGCTGGACAAGAACACTGCCTCCATTTCAGTCCCTACTCACCTGTTGGAGCAGAGAACTAGGCCACTGTGAGAACTAGGCCAGAACAATGGTCCCCTGCCCACTCTGAAAAGCCAGTGTGACAAGGACAGAGGCCGGGGTGGCGCCAGGGTCAGAGAAGGTGAGCTGCATGATGAGATAAGCACATGCATGTACATACACATGCACACTCAGGGTTCCTGGGTCTCTGGGCGTATGTTCCTAAACACCGATGTGGGTACGTGAACCTCAGCGATCAGAGACATGAATGTCTATGAGTCTGAAAAGACATGTGGACATGTGAGTGGATCTCTGGCCCTAGCGTGTGCCTGCTGGTCTCTGGGCTCCCGTGTGCATGACAGGGTAACTGTGCCCTTCAGATCACATGTATGGACACCCCCAGTGAAGTAGGCCTCCATCAAGCTCATTTCCTCCTTCTCCTGGACAGCTAGACTACATTTCCCAGCATTCCTTTCAACTGCATGTGGTCACATGACTGAGCAGTTGGCTTCTAGTAACCCCAAGTGTTCCATCTTCCACACTCTTCTCCTTCAGTGACCTTGGTGAAAATGGAGGTGCCGCAGATGGGAGGAGAGTGTGGATTCCTAAAGCATCAGAGCCCAGGTAGGGAGCACCTGAGTGAGAAGCTTCCTGGCTAACTACTGAGATTCAACAGAAAGTAATGTTACTTTATCTAATACAGGCCTTAATACCTATAATGGGTGTCACAGTAACAAAACCCTGTGGTACTCAGGTGACAAATATAAGAAAAGCGACGGGGAGGCTGGGAAGATACAGATCCACCTAGCACAATGGTCAGCCATTTAGGACAAACCTTTACTTGTGATGGCCAGAGACAGGGCCCTGCTGGGAGGAAGCGCTGGACAGGCGGAGGGACGACGCCAGCTCTTACTTTCAGCCTTTAGCAGTGTCATGAGGAGACACACCTGAGCAAGACCTGGCTGCTTTGCTGGCAGGAATGAAGGGAATGGCAACAGCTGGAGAGGTGAGTGCTATCAGGTCAGAGAAGCCATGGCTTCCAAACCTCAGACAGAAAGAGAAAGGCTGAAAAGGAATGGAGGGACAGGTGAGAAAAACTCATCTGAATAAGGGCTGCAGCCAGGCTCAGAGATCAGATGGCGCTGAGAGCCTGTGGCACCTGCCTGTCATCATAGCTACTTAGAAGGCTGAAATCTGAGAGGGTCATGGTTCAAAGCCAGCCCAGGCAGGAAAAGCCCATGAGACTTTTATCTCCAATTAACCAGTGATCAGGCTCTGAGTTCAAGCACTGGCACACACATGCACAAATAAAAGATCAGATGGACGATGTGGCCCGTGCACCTATCATTGCCAGCTTCTAAGACAGCCTTGGTGTTACAAAGGGAAATGGAGGCACAGAGAAGCAAGGGCAGCCCTGGGCTTGAGAACAGTGCCTAGGGTCGGCTTGCTGTGACCAGGCCTTGCAGTCACCTCTGTGCATAACCCACAGTGGCCGTCAAACACATCATGTGCCAAGAAGACATTTCTCTCCCACTTCCAAGCGTGTCACAGGGGCATGGATGGGAACACTGCCCAGTGGCCGGTGTGCATCTTCGTCTTACTCCAACCCTGAGACCTGAAAGTGGCCCATTCATTCATTTATTCACTTATTTCTTTGAGGGATGGGAACTTGAATTCAGACTTTGTGCTTTCTAAGCAGGTGCTCTACCACTTGAACCATACCTCCAGCCCTTCTTTCTCTCTCTGTAGCTCAGGCTAGCCTAAAGCTCATGACCCTACTACTGTGTCTTGGTGTGTGTCAAGCTGTAGGAGCTGTGAGATAAACCATCCTTCAGTTCATGGTTCTCCACAGTCCAGGGGGCATTCCAGCAGAGGGGGCAGGTCTGGGCTGGAGGGAAGGTCCAAACTCTCCCAGGCTCCCTTGCGTTGAGATGGATGTCCTTGCTGGCTAGGACTTTACTTTGTCTCCTTTGAGGAGGGGTGGGCGTGTTGCTGGAGGGGAGGGGAAAGGCCAAACAGATCACCGGTGACCTTGGAGGCCAGACTGGGACAAATAATTCAATAGCTGCTCCCCAGATTTGTTTACATTTCTGGGGTACAGCTCACAGCTTTCCCGAAAGCTCAGTTATGACCCCCAAGACTAAGCTGTAGAAGGTGGAATGTGGCAGGTGCAACGTGCACTGCCCAAGCCTGGCCTGTAGAAGCCTTGGGAGCTCTAGGCTCCTGTTAAAGATGGTGCAGCCAGAAGAGGGCAGAAGATCAGGCCCCCTGCATCACCACCTACCAGCCAGGAGCACAGTTTGGAACTTAAGTGAAAGACATATAGTGTCATGTGCTGAGCTACGGAGCTTGTGCAGTATAACCTTAAGAGCAACACAAACATGCTGGAGCCGTTTGGGCAGTAAATGTGTGCGATCCTGTGGAATGAAGCGCTGCTCTGACGCCTCAAGGAAGATGCATGAAGCTTCTCCTGTGCATCTGATCATGTGTGGCCTGTGGCCATCTGAAGGCTGTGTTCTATGTCCCCAAGCATATGTACACTTGCATGCACACATGGAACTTGAGCCATCTGAGATGTGTGCACTTGTGCATCTGAACGGCTATATGTACGGAGGGTGATGGAGGACATACAGGCAGATACTACATTCCACGTAGATCTGAGCATGTGCGCATGCCTGTGAAGATAGCATGTGTGCCCTTCTGCATGACGCTGCATGGGTAATGCCAGACACATGAGTATAACTATGGTTGTGAACACCCGTGCAGGTCAGTGAAGGCCCGAGTGTGTGTGTACCAATGGATGTGCTTTGCCTGTGTGCATATGCTTCGGTATAAACCTTGCTTGTCTCTGTGGTGTGTATGTGTGCACACCACCATGGAGCTGGGCACATGCATTCACACCCCGTGGGATCTGAGCACAGGTGTGTACATATATGCATGAGCCCCAAAGGGTGAGTGAAGGAGGCCTCAGAGGGCCCCTCTCATGAGAGCAGTGTGGGACAAATGCAAGTCGGGAGACTGGACAAGTGTGTACAGGGGCACGGCCGCTGCAGCGGGGCACGCATCACCTTCCCCTGAGGGCACGCCCCTGCACCCTGGTTTTAGGACATGCATGCACACTAGTGCAGTGCCTTCTGTGAGCAAGCAGGCATCTGGTGGTTGGGTGTGCATCCTGGCCAGTATACCTAGAGAGGGCTGACACGCATGCACAGATGTGTCCTGGCACATGCATATGTGTGTGCACACTTCCAAGAGTCTGGCCACTCTTTGTACATGCACACGGAATCTCTGGGGTTCTGAAACACGGGATTGTCTGTAAGTCTGAACACATTGGTGGGAACTTCTGGTTCAGACACATGTGAGTGTGTAATACAGATCTGTCCACATAGATGGAGGTGGCTTTGTAAGCTGAATACACATGTGGAATCTGTGAGACTAAGGGTGTGTCACAGGTGTGTATCTCGATGATATGAGCACACCCTGAGATCTAAACACACGCATGTCAGGAGTGCTTCTGCAGCTCTGGGCACGTGTGTGGTTCTGGATGTGTGGTCTGCATATACCGCATATGCCCCTCTGGGAGTCTGGGTGTGCACAGCCATGTAGCTCTGAGCTCACATCAGGGCATGGGTGTGTGGTGTGTTACCTTTGTGTAGCTGAACACACACACGAGCCTCCAGGGCTGAGCAGGCAAGCAGCTGTGTCTGAGCATCTCTGGGCATCTGGGAGCTCTGAGCTCACACATAGGACACTGTGAGGAATCACACACCTTCACGAGTCTGTTCACACGTGCCCAAGTTTGCACTTTTCTGATTCTGGCATGGGCACCCAAGCATGCAAGGGACTCTCAGTGTAAGCATGTGCATGCCCACTGTCGATCTGGGTGTGTGTGGCACGGGCTCTACGGTTGGCCATAGGTGTGTAGAAGATCGTGTGAGCTTGCTGACAGTCTACAAAGGGGTGTTGGATGCGTGCATACCTGTCTCCAAGCAGAGCAGCATGTGTGTGGGTATATGTCCGTCTTATATCCAAATCTGCAGAGGGCAGGCCACGTGAGAGAATGGGAGACAGATAGCTCACACTACCAACTGTAGGTGCATGTCCCCATTCGGAAGAATGTTACCGATCATCTCTGGCTGCCATCTTCAGGTAGAATACACTGTTCGAGGCCTGGCTCACTGACCAGGGAGGTGGCACAAGGCCTGAGGTCTGGGTGGGGGGCTGAGTTAGGGGAGAGAGTGGAAAAGTGAGCAGACCAAGCAGGGACGATCCTGGGCCTACACCTTGTATCTGGGGATGAGGCTCTGGAAAGGCAGGAAAGCGCCGGCACCCTGGGCAGTCAGGGTCCCCAGACAGGCTGTCTCCACCATGAACATTGGTGCCAAGGGGTCTGAGCCTCTGCTCCAGAAAGCCGCCCTTCCTGGCATCCCAAAGAATCTCTTGCTGGAAAATGTCAGCCAGAAGGGGGAAGACATGGTCTACACCAGCTCAGGGACCCTGAAGTCATCCTGGTTCTTGCCTGGCCTCCTGTTGGGATGCTGATGGCCAAGTTTAAGCATTTTGCATGTGGATCTGCAGACCCACGGCAGACCCATGGCTGCGGGGGGGGGAGGGGGGGACAGCGGGATGGGAGGGGGGAGCCAATGGCCCTTGTGGTTTTCTCTGGGGGCTCCAGTGAGGCCTCTGTTTCTCTCCAAGCCTTATTTTTAAAGCTGATGATAGGCCGGCCACCAGTCCCTCCAACCCCAGCTTCCGGTCTTCTTCAACCCCCTCCCCCTCCTACCCTCACATCTGTGGCTGTCTTCCTAGTGGCCTCCAAAAGCCATGACTAGGGGACGGTTGGCCTGTCTTCTTCAAGTGACCCTCTTGTCCCACAAAGCCTGAAGGCTCAGGCCACCAGAGCACACACTGTGGATCACATGCCGGCCTCTGGCTACACTGAGCTGGGAGGCTAGGATGGAGCGTCAGCACATGCTGCTCTTGCCGGCATGGTGACCATCTGGCCCCAGATGGCCTCTGCAAAGTCCGGGCGAGCACAGAGGCTTCCCGTGGCTGGAAGCTCCCTGAGCATGAGGACAAGCAGAGCCCTGTTCTCAGGCCCCACCCAGTCCCAGAGCTCCGTCCCACGGCCTCTACCGCCATTGACAGCAAGCTTGGGAAGGAGAGGCTATGACAGCCCTCAGTCTGTTCCTGGAGCTCAGAGACAGCGCTGGGGGAGATGCTGTTACAGCCCATAGCCTCCCAAAGCAAAGACAGGGTCAGGGCGATGGTGGGGTAGCTCCCAGCCGAGGGCCTCTGTTCCAGGAAGCCCAGGCCCTGAGCTGGGAGGCCAGACACCAGGCCTTCCCAGCCCAGCAGCTGGCAACCCCTATGAGTCCCCTGGGCCCAGCACCATGGCTACTCAGGAGATACAAAGGACAATGGGGTTCAACCCCTAGGTGTAGGAGCCTCTACCCTTGGTCTCTGAGTTCAGCCTTGGCCCCAAGTCTCCACAGTCCATATTTGGACCTTCTGTTCCCTTCTTTGCTCTACCAACGTCTCTTCAGGTGCAACTTCACCCCCAGGCCCTCTCCCACAAGCCAGACCGTACCAGGGTAGACTGCCTACCTCCTGACCGCAGCCCTCCCTCGGCCCTGCGCATACCTGCCCCAACTTCCAGCCTGCCAGAGGTCTTCTTCCATTCCCACTATTACTCCCAAGCGTCTGCCACCAGCTCAGATGAGCAGCCAGGCACCCACCAAGCCACCCTGCTCCCACTCACAGATGTTCTCTCTGCAGCTCCAGCTGACACCATCAGACAGAGCCCCGCAATACCCCTAAACACTAGCAATCCTCCTTCCAAACCCTGCCCTCCTACAGCAGCTCCACCACTGGGATCCCCCCAGGAGATCTCATGGCTGGCTTAGGAGTACCTCATCCCCAGCATGCTGCCAAGCGTAGAACTGCAATGCAGCAATGCCTACCTTGGCCTGGCTTCCTGGCAGGCTCTACCCTGGGGATCCTTCAGATTAGAGCACCAGATTTGTTCCTGAGGCTGGGCATGAGGGGAGCTTAGGATCTAGCAGAGACCTTCTCTATGTGTGACCAAGAGAACACCAGAACCCACAGCTGATGATGGGAGTTGTAGTTCTGTACCTCAGAGCTAATGAGAGTTGCAGTTCTGTACCTCAGGGCTGATGGGAATTGTAGTTCTGCACCTCAGAGCTGATGGGGGTTGCAGTTCCCCACCCTCCACCCTGGACCTGCATTTAGCTGTCTTTCTAAAGGAACATCTCCCTCTTCTGCCCCAGCTCTCCACCCCAGGACCCTGTGCTAAGGACCTGACTACCTCCAAGGGCTGGGGGCCACCAAAAGGCACCACCAGAGGGCATGTGAGGGAACTGGGGGCTCTGAGCATGGGAGGGGTCTACCAGAGGAAGCTGAAGCCTATAGCAGGCCCTGGGCTGGGACCAGGTGGCTGGGACAGTCGCCCCCCTCCCAAAAGCGTCGTGTCGCAGGGGCCCGGGGCAGGGGAGGGGGGAAAGGCACTCACCAGTACTGGGCTCACACTCCTCCAGGTCCTCATCATCACTAGGACACTCGGCTGAGGCCACCAAGAGGTCATCTGTGTTCTGGAGGGCCGGAGAGGAAGGGTAGGAAAAGAAAGGGTTCCAGGCTGGTGAGTGGACCCCTAGAACTGACTCTTGAGGTGTGGGACAAGCACGGGGGATACGCCTGGGCCGAGACCTAGCCCTCTCGTCACTTTGTGGGTGACTCTGGCTGTCTAGCTTCCCCCTGCAAATGGACACGAAGTGGCAACCATGCCAAGTGGATCAAGCAGCATATGTTGTGCCTTTTATTTCTGGAAGCAGGAGATGGCTCTCAGACCTGGGTGGGAGGGTGGGAGCCGGGGGCTCGGGGGGCGTGGCAGGGGCCCCCAGTGGCCTGCACAGGCACAGGGGACAGGACCTGGAGGGGTTTCTTAGCTCCGCTCTCACCACCTCATCACCCCTCATCTGGCTCCCATCCCCCTTCGGGGAAAGAACTGGGCTGCACACAATAATTAGGGCTGTGGTTGCCATGACAACAGGAGTCGACTTTGTCAGCATTTTCTTTCCTCCTGATTGCAAAGAAAGAGAATCCCTGAGATGAATGAGGGGGGGGGGGAGAACTTGGGTGTTCGGAAAGAGACCCAAGGAGGGAAGCCCAAAGTCCAGGTAAGACGAGCGGTTGAGAGGCTTCAGGACAGGAGGCAGGGCCGGGGGAGGCTCCTGGTAGAGAGGCTCCTACCCGGCCTGGTCCTAGGTCCCCCCATCTGCTGGCGCAGCCCTCACCTGAGGATGTGTTCTCCGACTCGTGCCCTCACTTTTTCACCACAGCATTAATCTGGGGGATCCCACCTTCTCTTTCCCCTGGCTGGTCTGCCCTCCCTCCCCTCCCCTCCCCAGACTGGACAGTCCTTCTATGATCTGGAGGGCACGGATGCTAGGCCCAGCCCTGGCCCAGGGTTCCTGCCCCCTACAGGATATCTGGATAGCTCCTCAGATAGCTGGGCAGTGACAGCAGACAGGGAGGGGTGCAGGCTTGTGACTTCCACCTGCCTAACTCCAGCCAGCCCAGTCCCAGGCTCCCCACAGCACAGCCTCACAGGGGAGATGGGCCTGGAGCCCCTTAGGACCCACCCCTCAGTTAGACAGAAAGCAGACACAGCTGCTGGTGGAGGTCAGGCCATGTCCTCATGGCCGTGCTGCATGGGGGACGGGGAGACAGCCACTAAGCTCCTGGTGCCAGGTGCAAGCCCTCCATGACCAACCATCGGCACTGGTAACTACACCTAGGAAACTCAGACCTGGCCCAGGGAGCACTGGGGAAGGAGGGGTGGGGGGAATCCTAGGGAGCACCTTCACCCTGTGCAGACCACTAAGCCGTGCTGCCTGCTCAAGGTCACGTGGGGATGATGAGTGGAGGCCACGCCCCTCCCACTGCAGGGAGTCCAACCAACCAGGAGAGGAGCTACCCACTGCTGGAGAGGCTAGAAGGAGCTATTCTCCAGGTACTCGCTGCCCAGGGCCAGGAGGTGAAATGCATTGCCCTACCATTGACCCCCCCTCCTTTCCCAGACTTCCTCTGTCTTAAGAAGAGTGGGCAGGCTTCCCTGTTCTGCTCCCCTCCACTCTTGAGAATGGACCTTCGAGAAACAGGTGTGGTCACCCCCACACCCGACACATCCCTCGCTACCACCACCTGCAGGCTACTTCCTGAAAGGTGGTCCTTGGTGTGTGTGTGGGGGGGGCTCACCTGGGTGGTGCTGTCCCTCAGCGTGGGGGAGCGGCCCCGGCGTGTGGTAGTGGTGGCCATGGTGGTAGTGGTCTCCATGATGGTGGTGGCCATGTCGGCCAGCAGGGTGGTGGCGGTGGTCTCCGCGCTGAGTAGCACGGACGGCCCCTCCCCCACCAGGCGCAGATGGCCCTCGGTCCGCACATTGGGGTCACTCTCTGCGGCCAGCGCCAGCACCTTGAGCCCATTGTAGTAGAGGCCCGACACCTGGCCCTGGAAGGGGCGGCCCTGATCCCGGCCCCCGATCTTGATGGCAGCCTGGCTGTTGAAGATGGTCAGCTGGCGTCCTGGGGGGGGGTAAGGGAGGGGGGAGTACAGAGGAGAGGCAGGAAGTGGGAGGGGGTGGGGGGGCAGAGGCAGGAAGGGATGGAGAGAATGGAGGAAACCAAAGGAAAGAGAGGAATCCAGGAAGAAGCCAGCAAGTGGGTAGGGGGAGAAATAAGGAAGGACAGACAACCAAAGAGAAAGGCCCCATCAGCCAGAGAGCCCCCAGCCCAGCCAGGCAGCACCCCAGCAAGGGGTCCCAGGATACACAGGGGCTGAGAAAGGGAGCCCGGTCACCCCCTTTCCCAGTGAGCACATGCCTCTCCCCCTCTGCCAAGTCCCCCTGCCGCCCTACCACGGGATCATTTCCCTCTTTACTTCGGTGCAACCCCACCTTCTCTTTCTGCTTTCCCAAACCTCCCACCCAAGCGTCCAGCCCCACCCTACAGGTCTCCTCGCGGAAGCAGCGCACAGTGGCGACCAAGGCAGAGGTAGAGGGGGCACTGCCGGGCTGTGGTGGAGTTAGTGCGTGTGAACAAAGCCAGAGGGAGAAGAGGGGCGCAGTGGGCACAGCCGCTGCCCAGCCTGCTCTGGGCTGGACTCTCACCCCCAAGCGACCCTTCTGCCAGCCAGGCTCCCTGCCCACTCTTCCTCCTGCCCACAGCCACCCAGCCACTGGCTGAACCCAGGCCCTGGTGAGCACAAGCCCTTCCTCCCAATCTGGCCGTGCAAGCAGAGAGGTGAAAATGTTAAAGGGACCTTGCTTCGCTTGCTGACAGCCAAAATAACCGCTCCAGCTCCAAGGTGGTTCGCACCTCAAAATCCCCACCTGTGTGGGCTCAGGCTGCTTGCTTTGGTTTTTGAGTGGATCTGGGGGTCGGTTTAACCCTCTGAGTTTGTAGTTTTAGTTTTTTAGAAAAGACGTTTATTATGTTTAAGTTTAGATTTAACTTTGGTTTTTGGTGTGGCTTATTTGGTGGGGGAAGGGCAGACGGGCCACTGCTTTGCCCCTTGTTCCCCTGGACCTTTAGCTGCTGGCGCGGGGGGCGGTTTAAGATCTGGCTTAGCCCTTGTTAGCCTCTGGTTAGTGCCTCGTTAAAGATCTGGTTTAGAGTTAGGTATCTGTGAGCTGTACCCCCCAAAAGCCCGGGGTGAGGCCAGTCCAGCTTGTGAGACCCATGCCCTGCTTGGAAACACAGGCTATCTCTGGAATGGCTTCCAGTTCTCCCTGCCCGGCTTCTCTTTCTCCCTCAGTACTTTCCCCTGGCCCTGGGAACTGATGCCTTCCTACAAATGGGGAGCAGGGGGGCAGGAAGGAAAGTCATAGAGTCTACAGAGCTAGAGGACAGGTGGCAGTTTGGGCTTAGGCCCCTGAGAACCAGGTGTCCCAAGCTGATTTCCAGGCAGAAGAATTGCAAACAAAACAAAGCAAAGAAGGGTCGCCAGTGATCATGAGTTTGGGAAACAAACAGGTCACAACCATACAGGATTTCTTTCTCAAAGGATTTCTCTATATACCTGTGTATCAGGTAATGCTAAGCAGGACCTAGCATTTCAGGCTCATTTTTACCACAGATCTCTTCATTGTGCAGCCTCTCAGGAAACATGCTTTGGAACTAGAAAATAGATTCATTCTATAAATATTTATTGAGCACCTACCATATGCCAGGTGCTGACAATAGAATATTCCCTCCTTGAATGCCTGCCCTTGTTCCCTTATTTTTTTTTTCTTCTCTTTTTTTTTTTTTTGTCAGTGGTGGGGCTTGAACTCTGGGCCTGGGCGCTGTCCCTGCACTCTTCAGCTCAAGGCGAGTGCTCTACCGCTTGAGCCACAGCGCTACTTCCTGTTTTCGAGTGGTTTATTGGAGATAAGAGTCTCACAGACTTTCCTGCCCAGGCTGGCTTTGAACCGAGATCCTCAGAACTTAGCCTCCTGAGTAGCTAGGATTACAGGCGTGAGCCACCGGCACCCGGCTACCTCTTTTGTTTTATGTCATCCTCAGGACCCTGCCCATGATGTGGACTGAACCAAGACTCTGGTCACTGTCTTTCTAAGGAGAGAACCAGGCACAGACAGAAGTACACGGCCCAGGCTACATTAAAAGTAAATTTCTCTTTTAGGAAGGAATTGTCTTTCCAGGCCTGAAGAGAAGATACAGACAAGCTACTGGTGAAGGACAGCCCCCTAAATCCCACCCTCTCCCCCTGGACCTGTCCAACTCTCCCTTCTTGGCATCACAAGCTGTTCCAGCCTCAGCCAGGCTGCTCCTTGGCCTCTGATTCTGGTCGAGAAAGGGAGGTGGGTGATGGAGAGGAAGCCACATCATTTAGTCAACTTGGTCTCTGTGGCTCCAGACCCTGGCCCACCTACCACAAACACCTCAAAGGGTTAAAGTTCGCCCCGCTGGAGACAGCAGCCCAGTGTGGCTGGGGGCTGGAGGTTTTAGCACATCTGTTACAGTCCCTTTAACTTTTTTTTGTTGTCGTGTTATGGATTTATCACATCTGGTTTATCGGCATGTTTAGGCCCACTGGTGCAGGGCTGGATGTGGCGTTTGGGGGGTTTATCGGGGAAGGCCCCATGGACATTTAAAGCACAAGTTATCAGCTGGTTAAGTGGGAGTTTAACAGTTCTGCTCCCCGCTAGAGTTTAGCCTTAGAGGTACAGAGCTCGCCCCTCCTCCAGAGGGAAGGAGCCGGTTTTGCCCTTGGCCCCCAGCCACCCGGTGACAAGATGCCATCTTCCTCTCCCCTGGTGACAAGGTGCTGTCTTCCTCTCCCCCGGTGACAAGATGCCGTCTTCCTCTCCCCCCCCCCCTGCAGTACCTCACTGCTACATGGGGCCTCTTAGGGAGCCCCCTGTCTTCCTCATCAGCCCAGCTGGAAGGAACCCCTACTCAGCCATGCTCTCCTCAGCCTCCACTATTTCTAAGAGGCTTCTAGACAAGGGAGGAAGTCCATTCCTGTCTATTCCATAGCTGCTCTCCTTGGGGGGGAGGTCTTTCTAGAAGGATCTGAAACCCAGCTTGTCAGTTCTCTCCTCTGTCTTGGTGAATGAAGCCTTCCTAACCCTCCTCTGAGTCTCGGGATCGGCCATTCCCACTTCCCAAAGCCTTTGGGCCTCCAAAGCACCCGAGGCCCTTGTCCAAATCTTGGCAGTGAACTTGGGCAGGGGAACCACCTATGAACCTCACGCTCACCCTCCTGTCATGGCTGGGCTCAGCACCTCAGAAAATGGGGAGCTTTTATCCTCAGGGGCCTCAGGGATGGTCCTAGGCAGATCCTAGCTCTCCTCCTCTAAAGAAAACAGACCCTCCCATCCTGCCTCAAACCACGGTCCTGGCTCTATCCACCCTCACTGCAAAGGGGAAGGGGGCCTCCTGGCCCAACAGTCATTCCTTCGCTCAGGGCTGGGCACGGCGAAGGCGGGTGGGGGAGGGGGGGAGGGAAGAGAGAGCTCTGCACCTTTAAGATAGTGTTTTTAAAGTTAGTTAATTAATTAATTCTGGTGAATTACCTTTGTCGAGCAGCCACTCATCTACTACTCGACCAAGCCGGTAGGGGATTCTCTGTCTAGCAATCGCCAGGCGCTCGTTATCAAAGTTTCCTTGGAAAAGTTTAGAAAGACAGTAGGTTTCTCAGGCAGCGAAGTCCAAAGGAGTTAGAAAAGTAGTTATGCATTTCTCAGGAGACCCAGAGTGAGCAGCAACATCCACCGGAAGGAGGGAGGGAGCAGGAAGAGAATAGCTGGGTCCCTCTTCTGCCCTGCCCACCTCCCTAGGCTCCCATCCAGAGCCAGCCCCACCCTGGGGGGGACAACCCAAAGAAAGGGGGGAAAAGGAGAAAAAGGAAAAAGGGAAGTGGACGTGTAAAGAAAAGGCAGCTGGAAGGTCAAAGGTCAGAGGTTAAACAGATTTATCTGGTCAGGCATTGAGGTTGACATCCGCTTCCTTTACCAACCCAAAGTGGGGTGGCAGGGCTGGGGCGGGACATTTAGCAGGTTTAAGTTGGGGGGGGGGCAGAAGGCTCGGGGCCCAGCTGGTTACTGCATTTAGAGGGTGGTTTAGAAGTGAGGGGATGGGTTAAGCGGGGGTTTATGCGGCATTTAAGGGGGTCACCCAGTACACACATTTAACAGTGAGATTTAACCACTTCTCGAAGCCTTTGCAACTCCCTGTTCCTTCTGTGCTCAACTCCCACCCACCCCTCCTTTCCCATCCCACCACACACACACACCCCTTAATTCCCACCCCCTGTGTGCCCCAATCTCTGCTCTCCCTGAAAGACTCTTCTCCCTCATGCTGGTACCTGGTGGCCACTGCGGCTGACCTCAGGGAAACTGGAGTCTCCCCAGCTCCCTTCTCCCCGCTGCAGCCACCCTAGCTCTCCTCTGCTGCCTGCTCTGCCTGGCTCTTCCCCATCCCAGCCCCACTTCCAGCCGCCCAGCTCCCTCTCTGTTCAGAGCCAGGTTCTGTACCTTCATCCCTTAGGACCCAGCCTGGCCCTAATCTTCTCCTCTCCCTTAGCCACATACCCTGCCGGCCCCCTGGCTTTTCCCCTTCCGGTTCCTTCCTCAATTCAAACCCCATCCTTGGCGGCCTATCAGTTCCCTCCGCTCTCAAGCTCCAGTCCAGTGTGTGTGTGTGTGTGTGTGTGTGCGTATACACGCATGCCTTTGTGGAATGAGGTATGACAGTGTGTTTATGGGAATCTGTGTGTTCAGTCATGGGCCGTGGGTGATTTCTATCTGCATAGTGGAAAGAAATACGACTTCCTTTGGGAATCTGACCCCTTACTTAAATTCCCTCACACGCCATTCAGGGCCTGAGAGGGGCAGGAGGCTTTCACTCCCACCTGCACTGTGCAGCTGCACTTACCTGCCTAGACAGACCTGACCACGGTTCTGCTGTGCACAGCTCCCACTGACACCTGTGTCCCTGTGGGAGGATGAGGATGATAGCCCCTCGGGTGCTTGAGAGGCACCGAGGATTCACGACACACTTAAAGATGAATAATTTGATACAGTGTGTGTGTGTGTGTGTTGACTGCAAGAACACACTTCTGCCTCATTTGGAAAGAGATTGAGTATATGTAGATTCTAACCAAAGCTCTGTTTGTGGATCAACTCCTCTAGGCCATGCTGTTCTAGCACCTTCCTTGGATTTTCCCGTGGGAGTCGCAGGATGGCTGTGAGTCAGGTACTATCCCCACAACTCAGAGGTTCAGAGAGGTGAGATGGTGCCCACGTCACACGGCTTTGTCAGTAAGATTCAGGGTTAAAACTCAGGTTCTGCAGAATGGAACCCAGTGTCTCTGTGCTCGCTGCAAGACAGGAGGTGGGGGTGAGGGAGCTCACTCTCTGGACCCTTGGCACCTCAGACCTGGCCTGCCAGGGTGCTAAGGATCTGCCCTTGCTGTGCACACAGGTAGCAACTAGGTTCTCTGGTTACACAATGTGCAGGCATGGGACATCAGGCAGGCTTTCCTTACTCCTAGCCAGGATTCCTGACAGAGCAGAGCAGGCAAAAGCCCTCTGTCCTGGCCTCTGGCCTGCTCAACTCTAAAGAGTGAAGCTCTAACCATAAGTCATGGCTAGATATGGGTTGATTTCCTGCCCCCGAGTCTAGCCCGGTCCGGGCCAGGCCAGAGTCATCACTGCAGTAAAGACTAGCCTGAGCCAGGGCCTGGCAGCTCACCCCTGTAATCCTAGATACTCTGGAGGCTGAGATCCAAGAATTGCTGTCCAAAGCCAGCAAGGGTAAGAAAGTTCTTGAGACTCTATCTTCAATTAACCACCAAAAAGCCAGAAGTGGAGCGGTGGCTTAGGCTTCGAGATGCCAGGTCACGCTCTGTGGAGCTGCTTTCTCGTGTGTCTGTCTGACCTCACAAACGTGTGCAGTCATGTGGGTGTTGGGCAGCCAACACCCAATGTGTCAGCCTCTGTGTTTAATAGGAGCTGTGTGGGCATAATCTCAGGGGCTGCCCCCAAAAGTCTGGGTGCAAGGCTTCATGACTGGGAGTCGGGGCTGTGTACTGGCTTCTCTGTTCCAGCATGGGTGAGCCTTGAATGCTTGGCCACGGTCTACCCATGCCCCTCTCATGCAGCACTGGGGTCAGAGTCGCTCGCTCTGCTCCTCAGTTGGGTCCTGTGTGACCGCAGATCATCCAGCCTGGATCTCAGCATCTCTGTGTCCCTGCAGTGACTCTAACTCCCTCCCTCTCTGTCTCTGGAGCTGAGCTCTTCTCCACTCACTCCCTCCTTCGCTCAGCTCTGTCCACCTCTTCTCTCCCTGGCTGAGTTGGTGTGTCAGCATCTCCCCTGGAGCTGCCTCCGTCTCTGCAAACGTCTCAGTGACTATTTCCAGATCTCCCCCATCACCCCCTACCCCTCTGGTTTCCTCTCACCCAAAGGCCCCCTCCCTATCTTACACGGGGTCTCTGACTCCCTTTCTTTCGTGTTCTCATCCCCACCCCTCCCAAGTGCTCCCTAGACCTTGGTTTGTCATTGAGCACCACAGCTGTCACCCTGGTCGCTTGGGTCTGTGTGCATTGCTAAAGCATCCTATGTCTCCTGCACCTCTGTGTCCCCAGGGGCCAAGCATTGGCCTCCATACCTACGAGTCTGTGCATGGATGTAGCTGAATACACTTGGCCCTCCTCTCTACTTTTCGTGTCCTTTGTGTCTCCCTCTTTTTCACTTGTCCCTTACTACCTAAGAGTCTGGGGTTCCTTTTCTGTGGGTGTCTGCAGCTACTTCTCTTCATTTACGTACTTCTCCTACAGGTTGTTGGCTTGCTCTTTTAAAGACTTTGTTTCTTTCTCTAGCTCTATTTTTGGGAACAGCTCTGTCTTCTGCCAAGATGACTTTTATGTTACTTCTGGAGCCTCTCTCCTAGATTTTTACATCTGTCTCACTTTTTCTTCTGCCCCTCCTCTCTGAACATCCTTTTCACTCTCTCTACCTTTACCCTCCCTTTTCTCTCCCTCTCTACAAACTGGACCCTAGCCTGTACCCTCCTCCTCCAGATTGTCATACTCGCACCATTACCAACAAAAGCCTCACCTTGCAAATCCCCATTTTCTCAACCATGCCCACCCTGGTCCTACCCCTTTATTTTCCATAGCCACGGCCCCAGTCAGTGGGAAGCCTCTGCCTAGCCACGCCCCACAGAGGACAACCCTCCAATCAGAGGCCACCAGCTTCCAACCCCATCCACACTGCACCACTGCTGTGGACCTGGTCGCCTACCTGCTGGGTACCGTTCGTTGACCGGCCAGCTGTCCACCTGCAGAGTGGCGTTTCCACCGCTTCGAGTAAAGCGCACCACATGGTATTTGCCGTCGCTCACGATGGCGTTGGGCTCATCAATAGTAATGTCGTCCGTGCCCACATTAAAAATCACCCCCACGGTGCCCTGGTCCTGAGGACAGGGAGGTTAAAGGTCAGAGAGAGACCTGGAAGGAGCAATTGGTCTCTCCTTGTAGAACTCCACCTGTGGCTGCTATAGGCCAGCAGCCTTTTACAGATATATAATGTCCCTTTCCTGGTCTCAATGACCCAAGGAGGTGGGGATGCCGGGGGCTTGTCTCCCAACCCCTGTGCAGGTGGAAGAATAAAGCCAGGCTCAGAGGTTGGGGGCAGCCAGGACCAGGAGCCCCTTCTGTTCATCACCCATCTTTTGTGGTTTGGGGGGGGGGTTGGGTTGTTTTTTTTTTGTCAGTTGTGGGGCTTGAACTCTGGGCCTGAGCGCTGTCCCTGAGCTCTTCAGCTCAAGGCAAGCACTCTACCACTTGAGCCACAGCACCACTTTTGGTTTTCTGGTGGTTCATTGGAAATAGGAGTCTTATGGACTTTGCTGCCTAGGCTGGCTTTGAACCACGACCCTCAGATCTCAGCCTCCTGAGTAGCTAGGATGACAGGCGGGAGCCACCAGGGCCCGCCTCCGTCTTTTGCTTTTGAGTTCACTGAAAATATTCACAAATGTTTACAAAGCGCCTACACAACGCAAGGGCCACTGAAGCCAGACAAGGTCGATGGGGGTCCAGCTGGGGACCAGCCTGGCTCTCAGAGTGGAAGCTTCCCTAAGGCAAGGAGGTCCACAGACGCCCCCACCCCCAGTCCCCACTCCCGACCCCTCTGAGGCCCTGCCCTAGGTGGCAGCAGGGCTACCCCTCCCCCCCCAGGTCTCCAGCCTGCGTGGTGGACAGGCAGCCCCTCTGCAGTCACGGTGTGGGACTCTCCCAGCCTTATTCAGGGAAGGGTGTAGGGTAAAGGATGGCACTGGGAGTTGGGGAAGAGCAGGCAGAGGATAGACAAGGACTGAGACCAGCTGAAGGGGAGCAATTTGGGGACACAGGCCCAAGGGGGGGACCCTGAAGGGGCTATCTGATATGTAGGCCAGAAAGACTTCTGCAAGTTGTGCAGATTCCGAAGGTGCCAGGCCCTGTGGGAACCATGTGCAAGTGATCTGTCATCCCTCCAGTAGGGGGTGCTCTAAGAAAGTTCACAGCGCCCCTGCTGTATCCAGGAAGAAACTGGGGGCTAGGGAGGTTAATAAATGGAAGGGGCTGGGAAGGTGGTTCAGTGGTAGAGTGCTTGACTTGCATGCAGGAGGCCCTGGGTTCGATTCTTCAGCACCACATAAGCAGAAAAAGCTGAAAGTGGCTGTGACTCAAGTGGTAGAGTATTAGCCTTGAGCTGAAGCTGAGCAACAGTGCCCTGGCCCAGAGTTCAGGCTCCACGACCAAACAACAACAACAACAAAAAAACACCCACAAACAAAAGAGGAGAGCCCCAGGTCTGAACCCCAGCTGGCCTGACTCCAAAGCCAGTGCTCTTACCCCTGTGCCCACAAGTCAAAGAGCTGGGGCTGAGGATGGGCTGGAAGCCATCAGAACTGGACGGCCCATTGGCTTAGGTCCTCTGCCTAGGCCCCCGTGCCATTCACCTGCCCCTTCCAGACACATTCTGAGCATGGTTCCTAAGCCAGCCCTGCCCTTCCCCACACAGGGCAGACTGGAGGCGGACCAGCCTCGCACCAAAACACACTGTATTCCTGGCGTCTTCCCCAAAGACTCCAGCCTGGGCAAGAGGAACCACTGGACTGTCACTTCCCTGGTGGCCCGGAGGTGGAGGCAGGATGTACAGCTCTTGTCACTTTGGAGATCCTTTCCTATCGCTTCTCCACCTCCCAGAACCTAAACAAGCCACACACGCCTGCATGCACACGTTCACATACACACTCCAGATGCAGCAAAGCAGGGAAACTGAGGCCAGCCTCGTCTAACCAAGAGTATTAGCGAGCCCCACCCAGGTGCCACCCACAGCCTTGACAACATCCCCAGGGAGATCTGCTCTTCACCCCCCAGCCTGCTCCTTACTATTGTTAGTAATAATATCACCCAGAATAGTGCCAGCCTCTTGCATGCCTGGAGGCTTTCTCCCTACGAGACTCCGCCTGGGCAGAGATGGCACAAGGGTGCGCGCAACCTGGGCGCTGGAAGGCAGGACACCTGGGCTGCCTAGAAGGCAGCGGAGCTGGGAGCTGTGCACTCCGGGGGAGAGGCAGCTCCCCAGAGCCGTTCCCGATGTGAAGTCAGTTGTCACTTCTGTTAAAGTCATTAATTCCTAATTCCCCAATTACCTCATTAGGCGGCGGTGGGGAGAACGCGGCCGCTCCTACAGCAAATAATTATGGGAGTCAAAATTAATTTGGCAAAGTGGAGCGACGCTTTATTAGAAACGTCAAATTGCTTTTCTCTTATTTTGCTGCCGCCTCCCCACTCTCTGAGAGCTGCTAACGACGCTGTGGTGGGAGCTGATGTGTCACCGCAGGAGGGCGGCGTTTGGGGGCTGCCCACAGGGGGCTTTAGTCTGTCTGGGGCGCAACTTTCCCTACAGTGCTGGCCTCTCTAGTGGCCCTCACCCTTGCCAGGCCCTCCACCCTGGCACCAAGCACACACAGAGGATTGTGGAAAGGACAGAAGATACCTTGCTCACAGCCCTGAGAGGAAGTACCATCCCTTACACCTACAGGTCAGACACACACACACACACACACACACACACACACACACAGCCCAGGTGGCCAGACCCAGGTGATCAGTTCCCTGAGCACTCCGTGCCAACAGAGTAGTACTCTGCGTGCATTACACACTCATTTAAGCCACCGGCATGGCATCTCTCTGCCCTCTTATCTTTGCTCCACCCAGGGAAGCATGCTCAGAGAGCTGCAGTGATTTGAACAGAGACAGAACAAGAAAAGAGCAGAGCTGAGATGTGAACCCAGACCATCTTCTCCACAGCTACAAATGACCTCACTCAAAAGAGACAAAGATGAGAGGCAGAGCTAAGAGCTGGGGGCTCACAGCTGTCACCCTAGCTCCTCAGGAGGGTCAGATCCAAGAATCCCAATCTGATAGCCCGCCCAGGCAGAAAAGTGAGACTCTTATTTCCAATCAGTCAGCAAAAAGCCAGGAGTGGAAGTGCGGCTTAAGTGGTAGAGCACCAGCCTCCAGTTTAAAAGCTAAGCAGAAGCCGGGTGCCGGTGGCTCATGCTTGTAATCCTAGCTACTCAGGAGGCTGAGATCTGAGGATGGCTGTTGAAAGCCAGCCCGGGCAGGAAAAGCTGTGAAACCTCTTATCTCCAATAAACCACCAGAAAACTGGAAGTGTGCTGGGGCTCATAGCCTTGAGCTGAAGAGCTAAGGGACAGTGCTCAGGCCTAGGGTTCAAGCCCCCATGACTGACAAAATATAAATAAATAAATAAAGCAAGCAAGCTAAGCAGAAATTGGAGACCCGGAGTTCAAGCCCCAGTACCAGCAAACACCAAAGGGGGTGGGGGAAGTGAGAGGAACAGCAGCCTGGCTCGCAGTGGACCCTGCCACACAGACAGATGACTGAAATCGCAGCAAACACTGCTTCGCAGGGAATGTACAGCAGAGCAACATGGGGTGCAGGCTCTCTTGGCCGCAGCCATCGTGCACCCAGTGCCACACTTCCATTCACAGCCACACCATCTCTGCCAACAGGCTGCCACTCACAGAGACACAGTCTGTCTCATTTGCTCACAGGCACAGGTCTCTCTTCCAGACCCGACTCTCTCCCTTGCTCATCTTTCCTCTGTGCCCCCTCCCTAGTGGGTGTCATTCGTCAGCTGCCACTGCCACAGCAGCCACACTCTGCCCACAGGCCGCCTCCCCCCTGCCTCCTTCCTTCACACCCTGGTGTTGGGCGGGAGGGTGTCAACTTGGGAACTGTGCATCCCTAGCCTCCAACCGACTGGGAAGGTCAGCGCCTTCTCCTCTGGCCTCCTAGGCTTCCTTCCCAGCCCACACCTTTCTGACCCACAGCCTGGCCGCCTCACAGCTCAGGGATCTGGCCAGGTAGGGAAACCAGGCAGAAAAGGGGTCCACATGTGGAGATGGAGACTGAGGTCAAAGGCCCAGAACTTAAGACTATGGGGAGGGGTAGGAGGCAGGCTGACACCAGTCTTCCCTGGGAAGACTGGGGGGTGGGGTTGGGGGGAGACACAGAAGGAAGCACTGAGAAGGAACAGAGGTCAAGGAGCAGAAGAGGATGGGGGTGGGGGGAGTGGGGCTCAGTACTCAGGGAAAGGGCAGAGGTCTGGGCCAGGATGTGGGCTGGGCCAAAAGGTCAGTGAGGCTTGAGCTTGGCCAGAATCTGGTGAGGGGCCTGCTGGGAGGGCTCAGGTCTCAGAGGTCAAGAGCAGGGCAGAGGCCAGGGCAGGATCTGGAGAACCACAGTGGCTGCTACTTGGGACCAGGTCTAAAAGAGGGGCAAGGCCGGGCGCTGGTGGCTCACACCTGTAATCCCTGCTACTCAGGAGGCTGAGATCTGAGGATTGCGGTTCAAAGCCAGCCCGGGCAAGAGAGACTGTGAGACTCCCATCTCCAATAAACCACCAGAAAACCGTAAGTGGTGCTGTAGCTCAAATGGTAGAGCGCTTGCCTTGAGCTGAAGAGCTGAGGGACAGCATCCAGGCCCAGAGTTCAAGCCCCACGACCGACCAAAAAAAAAAGAGGGGCAAGAATGGATGCAGGACACCCTAGGGACTGCTTTAGGTGGTCTAGGAGTGAGCAGACAGGGGTGTCACAAATGTGGGGGACAGGGCTGGGAAGGTGGCTCAGTGGTAGAGTGCTTGCCTTGCATACATGAGGCCCTGGGTTCGATTCCTCAGCACCACATAAGCAGAAAAAGCCGGAGGTAGCACTGTGGCTCAAATGGTAGAGTGCTAGCCTTGAGCTGAAGAGCTGAGAGACAACACCCAGGCCCAGAGTGCAGACCCCACGACCGGCAAAAAAAAAATTGTGGGGGACATTTCAGAAGGCTACAGAAGAATGACCTGGAAGGCTCAAGGAAGCCTTTGACTAGGTTTATAGTAAGTTTGGGACTCAGGAGGTCTATGAACCAGATGGGTGGCTCTGGGAGATGTGGTGGATGACCAGGAGAGGGCCGAGGCTCAGCAGCAGAACTGCTGAGGAAAGCCCCAGGGACCAGGGGTGGAGGACCCGAGGGTGGGAGGGGAGGTGCTGAAGGTCTGGAGGGATTTGGAGCTGGGGAAGGTGGAGTGGAAGGGCTGAGCCCCGGTCCTTACAATGTGCAGCTGCAGATAGTCCCCGAGGCCGGAGGCGCTGTCCACTCGCACCAGCACGGCACTCCGCTGATGGGTGCTGAAGCCCACGGCCAGGCGGTCCATCCTCGTGCTAGGCCGATCATTGGGGGGCCATGTGTAGGTGATGAGAGCGCCCCCCTTCCCAAAGATGTATGTGGTCCCGGCTGCAGAGAGAAGGGAGAGAGAGGAAGCGCTGGGTCAGAGGGACAAACTCATGTGGCCACAGCATGAGGCCTCCATGAGCGCAGGGTGCGGGACGGACGTTCAGCCCTGATGCCCTCAGCAGCCACCAGCCCCTGGGCCTTAGGCACACTTCGCAGGCAGGTACCTGGGTGATAAGACAGCCTGGGCACACACTCGGGCAGATGTAGCTGCCTCCTCAAGAATCCTAGCTTTAAGTACAGCAAAACAAAAGAGGTAATACCCTGACACCCAGAGCATGCCCAGAGAGGAGCTGCAAGTGAACCAGACAAGTGTACCTGGGCAGGAAGGATGGGGTGGGAGGGGGACACACAGCTCAATTTCTGCTAACAGAGATGACAGATACAAGATGTGGGTTTCTTGGGGGCCAGAGTTAAGCAGTAACAGGGCCAGGTGAGGGCGGGAGGATGAGCAGGGCTGTGGGCAGCTCTGACTCACGGGCCTGTCTCTGGCTCACTGCCAGTGTCTGTCCATCCCCCTCCCTCAGGCCCCTCCCAACGCCCTGAGAATCCTCCAAGTTCATCTCAAACCCATTGCTTCCACCTTCGGGTAGGGGTGCTGGGTCCCAAAGCAGGGAGTTCTGGAGCCCTGCCCAGAAAGGAAGAGGCAGACATG